GAGCTGCGGGGTGGCGCCGGGGCGCCTGCTGTGGCGGGTTGGCCACGCTCTGTGTTCCCTCTGTTCTCTTTCCATCCCAGACGACCGGTTTCCGGAGTACGGGAAGGTGGAGTTTGTGTTCTCGTACGGCCCGGAGAAGATCCAAGGTACGGCCGGCGGCCCCTCTGCAGCCCAAAGCCACAGCACCATGGGCCCCTTGCTCCCCGACCCACCCTGCCCTTCTCTCACTGCCCCTCCCTACGGCACTGGGCAACTCCTCCTTGGCTGTACATACGGGCCGAGAGGCCCTGCTGCCAGTCACGCGAGGAGTCCTGCCACTTAGCCAGTTTTCAGTCCCTGGTACGTATCCCAGAGAATTTTATATCGTTCCAGATTTTTAATCGGAATGTCCCGGGGTCCCAAATCAGATGCCCTACAGCCGTCTGGATTTATTACAGCGTATATTTTTATTGTCCACGTTTGTAATCTCATCAAGTAAAGTCCTCAAGTTAGCTTGGCAGGATCTATTTCCCCTACACCCGTGCATCGGTGACACGGCTGTCCTCTAGCTCATTAACTGAGTCCCACATCCGTCACCCCATTATCTTGCCAGGGATTGACGCCAGGCTGACAGCCTATAATTACCCACTCATCCCATTTACCTGTTTAAAAAACTGGCCTGCTGTTAGCTTTCTGCCAGCCTCCTGGGACTTCCCCGGTGTTCCGAGAGTTGCTGAAAAGCAACACTAGTGGGCCCGGGAGCTCCTGAGCCAGCTCTTTTCAAACTCTTGGTTGCCCGGTCTCCGGATCTGCTGATCTGAAAAGGCCGGCTGAGGTGGCACCTGGTTAACCTCTTCCAGAGATACTAATGGAATGGAAATGTGTTATCCTCACCTTGGGGAGGTGGGGCCCCTCTTGCAATCAGGGTTGTTTAGCCCTGGGCTCGCTCACCCGAAAGCAGGCGACTCAGCGCCACTGGAGGAGCCCCCCAACCTCCCTACATTTTGGGCCCTCCTATCCTTCCTTCGTCCCCAGAGGACCAGGTGTGTCCATCACCCAGCTGGGGGTGGATGTCCCCGGAGTGTGTGGGGGGCAGGTGTCGAACCCTCGACCTCTGGTCTGGACCTCCTTATGCAAGCACGTTGGTCCCCACACGTGCTCCTGTGTCTGCCCCATTTGTGCCTTTCCGTCCGCCCTCTACACGCCCCTCTGTCCGCCCTCCTACGCGCCAGCCCCCGGCGAATGAACGGCTGGACCTGCCTGGCATTAGCAGCGGGATGGACTAGATCCCGCAGTGATTCCTCTCCTCTTCCTTTCGCCCTGCCTCCCTGTGCCCCTTCCCCTTCCTGTCTCTTTCTAACAGCCCCACTTCTCTCGTCTCTCCCCACGCCCCCAGCCCACTCCCTTCCCGCCCCTGGCTGCTCCGGTGCCGCCTCCGCCTCCTTCACTCCTCCGCCTCCCTCTGCCCCCAGGGATGGAGCATCTGGAGAACGGCCCCAGCGTCTCGGTGGATTACAACACCTCGGACCCCCTCATCCGCTGGGACTCCTACGACAACTTCAACCTCCGCCGTGAGGACAGCGTGGAGGGCACGTGGGCTGGGCCCCTGCTCGGATGTATTGTTGTTACCCCGCCGGGGGGTGCCAGGCGCCCGGCAGCCCAGCCAGGAAGGCCGGTCCTGCCCCGGAGAGCTCACGCTCTTGGGGGGTCAGACGGGTGGACGAGACAGACAAACGGGGCTGGGGGGAGTGATAGGCCTGCTGGTCTCCCAGCTCCCCGGGCGC